AAGGTGTTTATAAATTAAAACTCAAAATATCCGCGGGCTTTGGATATTTTTCGTTCGAGAATTCCGAGGATTGTTACAATTGTAAATGACAGAACAAAATGGCGTTGTCCAACCTGGAAGATACAGCTCATTTTCATTTTTTAGTGTATATTATATCATTCAATATTTGAAAATATATTTTCGTCAGTAAAATTACTTATGATTATTATTGATATACAGATCAAAAGTAGTGACTTCAAAAGTATATCGAAACTTTTTAGAAAACATCAAACTTTCAAACATCTCCCGACAGTTATCAGTTTATGGTATTCCCGCTATGCCTGGCTTTAGTGGCTGTCGATGTAGGGGGTAACCTAGAGTTGAAAGAAGAGATAGATATGATGCTCGGTGATAATATTAAAGGATTATCTGAGGATCGAAAAGAGGGGGAGGACATGGTAATCCACGAATCCGGCAAATTGTTCTATCACCGAAATAGTGGTCATCTGTCCCAAGGGTGTGTCAAATATATCATCCACAAGGATCTTATTAACAACGTGATCAAGATCGAGTATAAATAAATTTTTGCTTTAAATTTTTAAATGGTTTCCAACCTATCCCAATGTTTTCAATTCTGGGCTGTTCAGTGCTAGTATTTGTCAAAACTTGAGAGTTCGTCCCGCCATGTCCTTTTTGGTCGCCGTTTTCCATTTGTTTTTTTTTAGTCCATTTGTAATTTCATAGTCTGCAGAGATGTCCAGCACATGCCCATTTGCTTTTCTTAAATCTTTGTTATGACATCTTCCACCCCCGTCGTGTCCCGGATCTCTGTAATCTTGATTCTGTCTTTTTTGTAAATCTTAAGCATTGATCATTCCACTGCTCTGAGTTACTATTTGTTTAATTACTTGCTTTAGTAAGACTCCATGATTTTTATCCATAGGTAAATTTAGGTAGGATGGCGGTGTTAAATGTCTTACTTTAAAGTTTTATGCATAGGCCATTCTTCACAATAAATTTTAGGCTCCTCCATCATCTTATCTTGGTTGTTTTTAAATGACTTGACTTGTTTGCTTTGAGTATCAAACCAACAGGAGAGGCCATGCGCGTTAATTCCTAAACAAAAAAGTCTTTCAATGTTAGGGGGGGGGGGGCGCAAAATAACACACTACTGTATACTTCACTACAAATGCAAAATGGAATCGTGTCACTATACACGCACACTACAGCATTTACGCATACCGTCAAATTGTACACGTGTCGATACACTGGTGCCGCTGTCTACATGCGTAAGTAACGTAAGGCGAGGAATATGTCGTTATTATTTATCGATAAGCAAATCATCATAGTCCGCATAAGTTCAGCGTTGGTAAAAGTGATTTTTAGTATTTTCTCATTCATTACAACAATTCATTACAATTAAGATGGAATGCCTCCTTTTCAGTAAAAAGGGTGTCCGGTTCTCTACACTCACCATACGAAACACAGCAGCATTAAGTTACTATTTTACGCTGGTATTCTGTGAGAGCTTGGTCCTTCCCCGGTTGAGCCGACCCTTTCGTGCTACAACTATACTACCTACTACTATCTTAGGTTTGGCCACATTGGTTCTAGTCTATTATGAGCCTTACCTTACCACTTCTCGTTTTTAATAATGTGCGGTTTCTGAATAATAGGTCTTTGACTAATCTAGTTCGAATTTATTTCTTTGATAATGTTATAAATAAAAAAATACAAATCTTATAATCGCATCATAGAAAGCATATGTCCCGTGTTATAAATGACGTAATAATTTTCTGTGGTTTTAATAAGCTGCAGAACAAAAAGGCAGAGTTTTGGCGGATACTTGATTACTGCTCATGCTTTATTGCTTAAATAATTGTCTAAAGTGGAGGTTGATATGTAAAAGTGATGCGATTTTGTTAACAAAGCTTTTTCGACAAAGCAGGTGCTCTGACGTTGATAATATTAACCTCAAGTAATTTTGATCGTTTAGGTGCGTTAGGAACTTGAGTGACTGTCGTCATCGACTGTCCGCTGGGTTGAGCTATCGTCAATATTTCCCAAAAGCATCGTAATGTGATGAATTAGCCTATTGAGATCTATAGCAACGAAGATCCCGAATGAAATAAAGACATGGCTAAAAAGACAAGCATCCAAGCCTAAATTCTTAATAAAAAAGGTACCATGCCGTCGTAGACAGAGAAACCTATAGACTAATGATTAGCGTGGCCTCGAGTGAGAAAGGACGATAACGTAGTTTTAGGTATATACAATAATCTTTATGCCTTTTAAACATATTTAGATAAAAATTTTAATTGTTCTAAAAATTGAACTGAACAAGATTCACCAATCTTAAGCTCACAAAACACTTTTTTTTTCGCTTTAACCAACTTGTAAACTCCTTAGATCGTTACGAACTTTCAAAGTCGTTTAGCAAAGTGTAGTTTGCTAAACAAAAAAAAAACCGGCACGGAGAAAGGGACAAACTGTCACACTGCTCTGTCTCATTTCTATGCAAGACGTATGCATAAATCTATCTTTTTCGTGTGCGAATGCGAAAGAAGGCGTCAATTTGTCTATAGGTTTCTCTGTCTACGCATGCCGTAGATCAGTGATGCCCAAAGTGGTCTATATCGACCCCTAGGGGTCTATAACAACCTGCAAGGGGTCTACGTCAGCGAAAAAAATTTGCGGGTCCATGAAATGAAAATGGGGGTCCACGATAGTGGATCTCAACACATACACTGATAGTACCTATTTACTTACATCATACTATCTTATAATATCAAAACATATACATTATATATAAAAGTACCAATGAAGTAAAAAATTTATTATATATGTTTATAAAATTGTGTAAGTTGTAGGATGTTTGGTGTGGTCGCAATAAATTTAGAACTTGTAAAAACCTGAGAGTCGCAGTCTCAAAGCTTCGCTACCTTGCACTGACTTGTTCAATTCGTCACTCTATAAATACGAATGTGGGACAAATACGTTTATGCGTTTTCTGAATCTTGAAAAAGAAAGTGCTAAGAAAATATTTTAAAAAATATAAATTATAGTGAGTCAGTGTTATTTTGTTTGAGAGTGCTAGAGAAAAGTAAGTACATTATTTTTTATTAAATTTTAGTTTTGTACTCGTAGTTAGCAAAGATAGATAAATTACGCCAATTATGACTTTATTTATTAGTAGTTTAATATTCAATCATGCAAAATTACACGAGTACTCCTCAATAGTTTCTTTTTGAAAGTTTTAGCAATCGGTATTACAATTACAGTGCAATCTCCGTAATTCGAGCTAACTGTTGCAAGAAGATGTTCGAATTATGGAATGTTTTCGAAAAAAATCAAAAAATATTTTTTAATATACAGCTGCTGGATTTTCTGTCTTATTTAAATAATTTAATTTTGCCCACAGATGACTGATGCCATGTCCGAATCTAAAAAGGAAATGTAGACAGTACAGTGTCGATTATTTGAAATTTGGCTTCATTCCATCATTGCCGGACAAACAATTGCCTGTGTTCCTTTTATGCAACAAAGTTTTGGGCAATGGCGCTATGAAACCATCTAAACTGCAAGATCATCTGAGAAGATGCCACCCTGATAAAACAGAGAAGGATTTGAAATACTTTCAAACACTCAAAGATAAACTTCAGAAGAGACCTACACTGGACAGAATGTTCGCTTCGACGTCACAAAAAAATTATGATAGTTTGCGGGCGTCTTACAATATCTCGTTACTTATAGCAAAATCCGGAAAACCGCATACTATCGGAGAGAAGTTAATTTTGCCAGCCGTTGAAGAGGTTTTAAAAACTGTTTTACACAAACCTGCATCTGATATCATTAAAAGAATTCCCTTAAGCAACAATACTGTTGAAAGACGTATTGATGAAATGAGGTATGATATTGAAAGCTTCTTATGTAATTATTTGCAAACGACCCATTTCTCTATACAACTGGACGAGTCAACTTCACCTGATAATGCAGCATTATTATTGGCATATGTTCGTTTTATTATGAATCAAGAAGTCTACGAAGAACTGCTCTTCGCAAGGACTTTGATAACCGACACTAAAGTTGAATCAATATTTCATGTTTTGAAGGATTACTTAATTGAAAAAGCCTTTATCAAATATAATATCAGTAGCTACAGATGGAGCACCTGCCATGGCTGGACATTATCGTGGATTTATAAGCTATTTAAAACAAAATGTGTCAGGGGTGTTAGCAATACATTGCGTCATCCATCGACAACATTTAGTTGCAAAAAATTTGAGTGTTAGATTGCATGAATCACTTCATTTAGTCATTGATGCAGTAAACCGAATCCGAAGCAACGCGTTGAATACGCGGTTATTTGCGCAGTTGTGTGAAGAAAATGACGAACACTTTCATCAATTTCTCCTTCACAAAGTAATGAAGTACGCTGGCTGTCGAAGAGCTTATGTTTGACAAGATTTTTCGCACTTTTTGAGACTATTTTAGAATTTCTGGATACTAAAGATAAAATTTTAAAAGAAAATTTTTTTGTTTTGCTAGCGAGTTAAAATTTTTATCACTTTCTTGCAGTCAATTTTCCAATATTTATCATTCCGTCCGCAACAAGCATTGAGAGTGGTACCCTGTATTAACGACTTCCTTAATTATCTAATTGTATGTACACAAAAATCGATCATAGTGCGATATTTATTAGTGTCGTGATTACTGTACTAAGATTGTAGTTCATTCTAGTGGATTGAGAGAAAACCAATAAATCAGCAATTGCCGTCTCGTTGTCACATAGCATCGTCGGACTGTGGCAGTGCGGGGACCTCACTTCCTCACCAGTAGGCGTAAGGACAGCGCTATATTTTTTTAACTCTCTCACACCTGTGTAACTACAGATATACCTGCACACTACGATGTCTTTACAACGCACACCACCGAATGTGTTTTCATCGGATGGTGATATTCCTGCATCGGTAAAGAAGATTAGCGGCGAAAGTTTTATAACTACCCGTAAACGTAAACAAATGGAAAACGATAAAAGTGATACAAATATGATTAAATTTGAAGAAAAATTTGATAATCAAATGCAAACATGGAATAAAACCATCAGCGATTGCATCGCAAATAGCATTGCCACCGCGGTAAATACAGCCCTAAAGGGTGAGCTATCAAAGATTACCTCTGCGTTATCAGAACTTAATGATAATGAGTTGAAACTTAACATGGATACTATCAACCTTAATAAATCATTGCACGAAGTTAACACCCGACTGTGCGAAATAGAGAAATCACTTAGCTTCTCAAATGAACGACAGGACTTATTTGACAGTCGACTGAAAACTGTAGAACAGAATATATCACAATATAACGGCTTTAAAACTCAAATACAACTACTTGAGAACAAAATACATACCATGGAACAGCAAGCAAGACAGTGCAATGTCGAAATAGCTAATATCCCCGACAGGCGAGGTGAGAATCTAATCAGCATAATGGAGTGTCTGGGCGATGCTATTAAGCATTCTTTACAATCATCCGACATAATAGCCGTTCATCGTGTACCTCATGCTGACAAAAATGATCGACGTCCGAAGAATGTTATAGTTAAGTTCGCAAACAGGACACTGCGCGACAATGTGATTGCCGCCTGCCGTGCTACAAAAGGGTTAAATTCAACATCATTATCCGTACCTGGCCAGCCTGCCACCATTTACGTTAACGAGCATTTAACGTTGAATAAAAAATTGTTGTTTCGTCAGTGCCGGGAGGCTGCTAAGAAAAACGAATATAAATATGTATGGGATAAACATGGCACCGTTCTGGCTCGCAAGACCGATACTTCACCCGCTATCGCGATCAGGTCCCTCCAGGACATCGCACCGAATCAAATGAACAACACCCGGATGATAACAGGCAGCATTGCAACGTCATAAACAGGTTTAAAAATAAATTATTTACGCCTACATATGTAAACCTAACCAAATTTTATCATGATATCATGTGTCACAAGAAAATATATACTCCCAAATGGTTAAGTCAACGTCCCACATATTATATTATTATAAGTAATCACACTTTTATAAGTAATTATTGTTATTACAATAGAATAGATACATGTGGTGTAATTTTTTTGTACCTTCGTGTCTCAGACTTAAAGTGCACTCTTTTAAATTTAATTAATATCCTATTAGTATTATGTGAAAGACATACACTTTGGTTAAATGGTTACATATCTGATCTGCTTAATTACTCTTCCAAAATTCTAATTACTGTTATTATTTCCAATCATAATACTCACGGCATAACATTAATATCTATTCAGGTACGCATAATTGTTTTTTATCTGTTTTTATTATCGATATTTAAATTAATTAATAAACAAAGTCCATGTTCCTACAATTCAACGTGTGCATTTGTACTGAATATGCTACTCTGTACCCACTGTGGCTCTAATGATTTGTATGCAATACCATATATTTTTCGATACAAAATTCAATAACATAAATAACAATGTATTATCAGTCTTCTATCAAAATTGCCGCGGTTTGAGAACTAAATTAAATACTATTTACATGAACATATTATCGCATAATTATGATGTTATAATATTAACCGAGACTTGGTTACATGATTGCATTGTAAACATTGAATTTGTGGATTCTCGCTACAACGTGTTCCGTTGCGACCGAGATCGCACTGTAACAAAGCGTCACGATGGTGGCGGTGTGTTGGTGGCTGTGCTGCGCTGTGCGCTCGCTTTGTGCAGTGCGCTGGGTGCCCGCACTCCCCGCTGCCCCCCTCGATATCACACCCATTATAGATCATATTCTATTAGAATTTCGCAATTTCGCATCGGTAAGTCTCATTATTTATTAAGCGCGAATTACATACCACCCGGTCTAGATTCTGATATATATTTTACTTATTTTAATAAACTACAAGAGATTATACAGTTAAATGGATATGATAACTATTATTTAATTGGCGATTTCAATTTGCCTTGTCTTGACTGGTATCAAGATGGAACTCAAGCAAAACTTCTAGGTTTAAGCAATATTACGCCACCATATTCTCACTTAGTAAATTTCATGTCCGTCATGGACTGTATACAAGTGAATATTATTAAAAATAATATGAATAGGTTACTCGATTTATGCCTGACTAACGTACACAACAGTAAAACCTTTTCTGCGCCTATCGCTCTAGTCCCACCTGACGTACATCATCCTCCTTATTACCTCTTAATACCAATTGATAATAATTTATTCAAAGCCATGCCAACGAATCCACGTTTAAGATATTGTTGCAAGAATGCTAATTATAAACAAATAATATAGGGTGATTGTTATAATAACGATATATTAGAAATTAATTGGTGTGAACTATTTCAAAATAAAACTGTCGAAGAAAGTGTTAACGTTTTCTATGAAAATATATTTGATCTTATACGTAAACACGTTCTCTCTAAACGGGATTCCAACTCAAAATTTCCAGTATGGTTTACCCCTGCATTGATAAACATATTTAAGAATAACAACAAAGCTTGGATTAAGTGGAAAGTATATAAAAACAAATCTGATTATTCTATATTTTTAATGAATCGGGATAGGTTTAGGAAAGATTCATTGATTTGTTATAACAAATATATGAAATAAGTAGAAGATAATATTCCTAAAAATATTAAATACTTTTGGATTTACATAAAAAATCGTCAAAATCAATCAGATATTACAAATAGTGTTCACTATGACGGAACAGAGGCGGATAGTCCTGAGGGCATTTGTAACCTGTTTTCTTCCTTCTTTCATTCAGTTTTCCAGCCTACTAATGTATCTGACTCCTTCTGTATTAACCATATAGATGATATAGACAATGGTATGCTCAATGACACCATTATTAGTGACATACAGCTATCAGAAGCAGATGTCTTAAAGGAACTAAAGGCACTAGATATTACTAAAGGTGCAGGCCATGATAACATTCCCCCCTATTTTCATTGAAAATACTGCCGTAACCATATGTAAATCGTTGGTTATATTATATAATAAATGTCTTACAGAGGGTATATTTCCAGCTATGTGGAAATCAGCCAGGATAACACCAATACATAAAGGAGGCATAAAAAGAGATGTAGTCAATTATCGTCCAATTTCAATCCTTCACACTTTATCTAAACTTATGGAGAGGCTGGTGCACAATGATATCTATCCACTATTGCATAGGACCATCCTTCCACAACAACATAGGTTTTTTCGTAAACGATCTTCTATCATTAATCTTATTGTTTATCCTTCTGAATTGTTTGACAATATAGACGCTAATACGCAAACCGATAGTGTCTATACAGATTTTCGGAAAGCGTTTGACCGAGTGGATCATAGAATACTGCTAGAAAAACTGCTTTCAACGGGATTCGCGGAAATCTTTGGAGGTGGTTTAAGTCGTATATAACAAACAGAACACAAAAAGTGGTCATCAATGGATATGAATCAAGTACGGTTATTATAACGTCTGGTGTGCCACAAGGATCTATCCTTGGCCCCCTATTATTCATTCTGTTTATTAACGATATAAATAATTGCTTTCAGCATTGTAATTTCTTATTATATGCAGATGACCTAAAAATTTATCGAACTATACATAATTCTAATGATCACCTCGAGTTCCAGGAGGACCTGAATAGATTTGATAATTACTGTAGCATTAACAAACTACAACTAAGTCTTAATAAATGTAAAGTTATTACATTAACTAAAAAACGAGCGTGGAGTACACGTAATTATTCCATAGGCGGCCACAATCTTACCAGAGTACAAACTATTCGCGATCTTGGAGTCACATTGGATACTAAGTTAACACTTGATGCACATGTTGATAACATATGTAGTAGGGCTTATAAAATGTATGGTTTTGTACTCCGAGCCAGTAATGACTTCGTACGTCCTAATACATATTTACATATTTATAAGACCTTAATCCGTTCACAATTAGAATATGCTGTTTGTATTTGGGATCCTTTGTATATAAAATACTCAGATAGCTTAGAAAGAGTACAAAAGAAATTTCTACGTTGTTTGCACAATAAGTGTTGTCATAAATATCGGTCATACCACCAGCTATTGCAAAGATATAAACTCTTAGATTTGAAGTCTAGGAGAAAACAAATGCAAGCCATGCTTTTGTATGACATTTGCCATAATAGGTACGACTGCTCTGATATTGTCAATAATATTAACTATAGAGTGCCTACTAGATCGTACATGCGAGCCTGTCGTTCGAAACACCTATTTTCCACACGAACATCACGCACTAACGCAGGCATGCGTGCACTATTCGTCGTATACTAAATTCTTATAACCGCAACTTCAGTCATATTGATATTTTTGTAAATAGTGTAAGCGTTTACAGAAACTTAGTAATTAAGGAACTGCATGACACTGTATACTACACACAACAGTGAAAAATGTACAGATGAATAAAACTCTCAACCTGTAAAAACAATTTGTTCATAATGCTCGTGGTAAACGGTGTGGATTTCACAATTGTCAATAATGTATAGGTTAACACTATTGTAACCATTTGTTATTGTGATGTTGTTTGTTTACCCAATAAATTGAAAAAAAAAGCTGCTAGGAAGACGACGTTTCAACTTACTTTCAACATTTAAATGCCCTCTATTCAGATTTTGAATCTAGGTTTGAGGATATTTTGACTTTTTTTTTTTAATTTATTAGGATCAACAAACAGTTTACACAATATTTATTAATCTAAAATACATTCACTACAGCAAATATAATATAATAGTGCAACCAACACCGTCGACCACCAATTACTATTAACAAATGTTGAGATTGAGAATAGCGTACAATTTTTTCATCCAATACAATGATTGTGTTTCAACTAACACAATAATGAAGAAAAATACTAATAATTGTAATAACCAGTTACACAAACTCATTCTCCTCTGAGTACTGAAAGTAATTCTTTTTTATAAATACCCACCTTGTGAGCAAAAATGTCAATATTATTGAAAGTATTATTATAACAATTTAACAACATATATATAGGAGATCTTTTATCTACGTTGGTTCGACATTTATTAGTAAAAAATGTATATTTAGTACGAACTCTGCGACACAATGGCCTATATGGTACTCTGTATTGTATCATCTCAACTATGTAGTTCTATACTATCGTACCTGTTATGACAGATATCATATTCAACATACTACCTGAATCTGTTGACGTCTGGATTCTAATTTTAGTAAGTTATATTCAACCAGCAGTTGATAGTAGGGTAATTTAACTCCGCGCCGACCTCCCTACCGGCGTCAGCGTAGTTTGCTACGCTGACGACACGCTGGTACTGGCACAAGGGGGGTCGTACGAGGCGGCGGCGGAAAATATGACACGCGGGGTTGCGATAGTCGTTGAGAGGATTCGGCAACTGGGTCTCGAGGTGGCTCTGCACAAGTCCGAGGCCATGCACTTCCATGGTCCTCGGAACAGGCCACCACCGGGATCCTCAGTGATGGTAGGAGGGGTATCCATCGACGTCGAGTCGACGCTGAAGTACCTAGGACTCGTCCTCGACGGCCGATGGAACTTCGTTGAGCACTTCCGACGTTTGGCTCCCAAACTGGAACGGACCGGGGCTGCCTTCAGGCGGCTCCTGCCGAACCTGGGAGGGCCAAACGCCTCCTGCCGGAGGCTCTACGCGGGGATCGTGCGGTCCATGGCCCTTTACGGGGCCCCGGTGTGGGCGCGTGGTTTGGCGCGGCTTGCCGTCCACCACCTGAACGCGCCCCAAAGGGTGATAGCCGTGAAAATGGTTCGCGGCTACCGCACGATCTCCCGCGAGGCGGCAAGCCTCCTTGCCGGATTGCCGCCATGGGATCTGGAGGCGATAGTCCTCGCGCGCCTGCACGAATGGCGTGCGGAGGCACTATGCCTTGGGGAAACCCCGCTGCCGCGGCAAGTTGTCGCGCAGCGGACAGACTTCCGGCACGATCTCATGGCGACATGGAGACAGCGACTGTCGCAACCCCGTGCTGGGCACGCCACTATAGCGGCGATAAGACCCCTCTTTGAGGAGTGGCTTGAGAGACGCCACGGCATCCTCACCTTCCGCCTGACGCAGGTCCTCACCGGACACGGTGTGTTTGGGAGGTTCCTGCACCGAATCGGGCGGGAGGAAACGCCCGGGTGCTCCCACTGCGAGGATGGACCGGAGGACACGGTAGAACACACCGTGGAGGTGTGCCCTGCTTGGGCGGAGCACCGCCGGGTCCTCGTAGCGGCGATAGGCGGCGGCGACCTCTCGCGTCCGGCC